TCCATCCACATAAATGCTCTTGGAAGTGCTCTGGTGCGATGTGAACTTGCAGCCGGTGTGGAGCAATATCCAAAAGCCTTGCAACGATAAATACGATGCGGGTTTGCAAGTCATGCTGGATTTGCACCAGAGTGATGGTTGTCTGATCACCACGCTTCTCAATTTCAACAGCTCCCCAGTGTGAACGCACCAGGACTGGGAGAATAGTGAGCGAATTGTTGTAGATCATGACTTCTCCAAAGTTGGTCTCTTCAAATTCACTCTGGTCAATATCCCAAAGCACCGGTGCGGAGAACTTGATTTCTTCTTGCAGCCACATCAAAAGCTGTGTGCATTGATACATCTCGTCCGTGGTCAACCAGCCGTGGGTATTGACAGTGAACTCAATGCGGCGCTCGAAGTTCTCCCCTGCTGGGAGAAATGGTGGTGGTCCAGAGTACTGATGATGACCACCAGCATGAATGGCTGGCGATTTCTGGCATAGCACAACATCTCCAGGAGGCAAATGTGTCTCCCGCAGCAGCATCAGAGAAGATCTGCACAACTGATGTGGGTGAGCCATCAAGTTCAAACTGCATCTTTTTCCCCGTGTTGTGAGGAATCAAAATGGTTCGGACTGTGTCCCAAACTTCATTCTCAATTGCTGCAAAGATCACAGTCTCCTGTCGCAACGTCTCATGCGGTCCAAAAGCAGCAAACATAAACTGTGGCATGCTTGTTGCAAGAACGATATTGGATCTGTCAGCAAGGATCATCCGACATCCATCCCCAGCTGTTGTGCGTCTTGAGATTGCAGTCTTGTACCCGGATTGCACAGCCAGAAAAATGACTTGTTGTCCTCCATCGGTGCCGTCATCTTGCAGTGTTTCGATGACAGGTTGCACCTCCTGAAACCAACTGCTGCCAAGGTAATCATCAAGGTCGTGTTGTGTACTGGCACTGGCAATGGGATGCTGCTCCACATCGAAAGGGAGAGTGGGTGAGATTTCGACGACCTCAGTACGAGCGAGTGAAGGCTCACAAACAGTGATTCGGCAATGGCCTACCTTACAAAGACCAAGATAGACAGTCCAGTCCTGTTCGAAAGCAGTCAGATGGCTCACAGACTGCAGCATACTGGTTTTGGCTTCTGGATTGACGATGGCAATCTGTCGGATCAAGTCCTGAGGACCGGTGACAAAATGTTCGAAAATGCGAGTGCCTGGAGTGGAACCAGACAAGTGCACCCGGAACTCAAGGCCTAGTAAGGAACCAACCGCAAGACATTGGGGGTCATTAGACGAAACCTGTGGTTCACCCAGTTGAATCCACTTCACCAATTGGTGCGTGGGCACAAAACGAATGAAATCACCTTGGCAGAACACAGCTGTGTTGTGAGCTGTGAGACGGTCTTGCCATGCTTGCCGGACCAATTGCAATGGGTCGAACGGTTCAGGCAGTATGGCCTAAAAACCAATGGCTAACGCCAAAATGCTATGCAGAACCGAAATGGCATTGCCCAGGACGTGAAACGCCTGTTGGATCTTGGTCGGAAGCACGATGTCCTCAGTGGCACCAAGCAGAGAAACAAAGAGCCCTGGGGGGAGAAATGAAAATCCCTCCGGTCCATTGTGCAAAACTGCGAAAATGCCTTTGGCATGTAGATGCTGCTTGGAGAGCATATGCTGTCTGGAGTATGAGGCACACAGTGTTGGAAGGGGTTCGGCCCCCCCTCCGGAACGCGGCTCCAAAGTCCTTGAATCCCCGTTTGGGGCACTGCAGCAACCTTGGCTCGCTTGGCAGGCGGCAAGTATGCTGCATCATTGTAAAACTTGCACTCAGACGGACTAAGCTTGAGCTGAGTCTTCCACACCGAGGGAATGGGCAGTTCATGCTTTTGATCATGCCAGATCGTTCTGGTAACAACCGAAGGCTGAATGGTAAAGCCAAAAGGTCGTGCGTGGCAATCAAACCTAATCCAACCCCCAAGCCAACGCGTGCGAACATGATTGGACAGCTGATGATAGTGGGTGGCCTGCGACCATGTGAGGGTATAGCCAAGCTGCTTGGCATACGCAAGAACCAAAGGAAAATGCTCATGCTTCAAAATTTCATCCGAGCACTCTGCAGCGATCACCGTCGGTTGCAGTGCTGCTGCAATTTGAAGTGCTTCAATACATGCAAACCCATTATCGTCTCCGAGTCCAGCAGATTTCCCCCCCTGCTCCACGATTGGCAGGGGGGACTCATGGTAACAATGAGGTTGGTCTGAATTCGGACGATGTTCAACAGGGTGAAGTCATGAACTCTTCCATGAAGTCCCACCTTAGCAGCTGGTGTCCACTCAGTAGTGTACGCAAGTGGCAAACACCGGAAGGGGGTGGCATTCTTCAAGGACCACAACTGCATAATGAGCTCATCGGAATCCAAGAAAAACTCTTGCCCACACGCTAAGGCTTCGTGTCGGCCACATATTCGATCAAAGCCTGACTCCAGCCTGAAAATCCTCCAGAGAAAAGGTGGACCGCATTCCAGGACATGTGTGTGCAGAGTTCTGGCCTATACGAAATCGTCGCATCTTTGATCCAAATCTCTTTCTCAAACACTTGTTTCTGAAGGAGCCCAGTGCAAACAATCTGTACGCCTGGGGACAGACAAATCGATCGCTTTGCCGGTTCCTGCATATGGATCGTCAGGGGCATCTCCTGGTCACAGCTCATCTCAAAACCCTGACCTGGCCGGAATGGAAGGGCAGCAACCGAGATCCAGTCAGATCCCACATCAAACACATTTCCAACACAAGTGATCCTGTCCCCGAGGTGGAGCAAGACTGACGACGCTTGCAATCCATGGAACAGTCCCTTGACTTCGGATCGCAGTGGATCTAGGAGAACCTGATCAGCAAGGCCGAGGGCGGCCTTCACATCCATGGCTTCGGAAACAAACCAAGAACACAAGGGTGCGTGCCCTGGGGAGCACGCTTTTCGACACTCCCCACTCCCGTTGTGGGAGTCAAGGAGCCCTCGGGTCCCGTGGCCCTGAGCTTTCAGGCTTTGGGCCTCGCAGCTAATGCAGTAAGTGTTGAACCACCAATCGCACAAACAACGGACGCAGCAGGCCCAATGCTGTCGTCAGACACAGACAGCAGAGACACATCAGACCTCGATTGGACTCTGACAGGTTGAATATTCGTAGACCGTCTTGATTGGCCAAGTGAACTGATATCGCCAGGCTTCGAGCTCGCAAAGCCGATCACCTTCGCTCGTTCTGACAACGTTCCACTTGAGCTGGTACCGCCTGTGTCGGCTCCTACATCACCAACGAGGGATAGGTACGCTTTTTCACGTGCTTTGGATGCCATTGTCACGAGTCTGTGCGTCTCGACAATGCGCCAGCGGTCGGTGTTCGCCCTTTGGCCCATCTGGCAAGTGGACGTGGTGCTGCTTCTTTTGTTGCAGTTGTTCCACGTCTTCCTCTAGGTACTGCTGTTTCCAAGCCGCCGGAGTCATCTCTGCATCCATCTGGTACGTCGGCCTGGTGAGCATCAGCAACGAATTCTTGTACTCGGGCCACTCTGCCTCCACTTCTTCTTTGTCCTGCTGCCAGGCCTCCGGGTTCGTGTAGACCGTCCGGCGGACGTGGGCCGAGTAGGCCGTACTTTCTCAGCATGTCCAATCTCTCGGACGCCTGTAGCTTGAGGATCTCTTTCAAAAGAGTTGGGACTTTACGGACAGTTGTGCTCGACCAAACGGCCATGTTCCACAACTCCCAACCCACTGGGGACCAGTATAGTCGAACTGGGGTTCTTCAACCCTTTGTCGGTTGCAACGTCGGGTCTTGGCTGTTCGGGATTGCTTCAAAGGACTCCGAGATGCGTACCTGGAGTCTTTTCAACGTACAGTGGGTCACATGACCTGGTTTAAAAAGAAAACAGGTACATGCATACCCAACTTCCGAGGTCTTTTGTTATTTTTGTCGTGACATCACAATGTAGGTGAAAGAGAAGAACTTGGGCAACAAACCATGCCCTAGCCTTCTTACAGACCATTTAAGAGAAAGGCGGTCCAAACCCAGGTCCTAACCACTCGAAAGCTCAAACCCAAGCCCCCTAGAAACCCCAGCAAGAGTAGTTCTATAGTGTTTTTGTATGATCAACTCCAGTGAGGCTCTTGACCTGTATAGCGCTCCCAAGTCCGCCTAATGTGCATTGGCCGGGTTGGGCACAACTAGAGCTTTCAACGGCACTTCCAAGACCACAAGTAACCAGCTTTCCAAGTCTGCTTGCAAGTGTGCTTTTTGAAAAAGCCCAAGCGAGCAGAAATGGCGCTGCCCTGTTGTGAGGTAGGGCACAAAAAAGATGAACAGAATGCCAACAGTCTGCACTGGTTGGAGGATTGGTTTGATCAAGGCAGTGAGGGTGCTGAAAAAAAGGAAGTGTGGATTGCAAGAGAGGTTCTAGCGACCTGAAGAGGACCCGGTCACCTTGGGATAGTCTTTGGGATATACCGGTCCCACGAGCCAAGTTCTAAGTTTGACCAAGTTACGACATTCTTTCTTAATCTGCCTGGGGTGGGCATGGAGGCATGGACGTCCACCAAAACGGTGAAGGCACTTGATTTATTGGTGGTGGTGGTGGTGGTGGTGGTGGTGGACAAAGACCATGAACACATAGATGTCACACATGAACTTGGTCTCTGCTGTTCGTACTTCCAGATTTAAACATTGCAGGTGGTAACCGCTCTTATAATGGAGTGCCCCTAGTGGGAGCCTTCTTGGGTACCTCTATTCAGAGCGGTAACAGGGCAGAAACGAATCACACCTGTGCAGTTCTTCCCGCAGGCCGCTGCGGTCGCCACCCCGGTCAGAATCACCATGCTGCACTGGGTGCAAGGAAGCGTGTTGAGACCATCACTATATAGTAATTACATACCGACAAAAAAAAAGCATACAATGTGATTGCATCCCTCTACGTACATCAAACGATTGTGATGGAAGTTATCTTTCACCTGTGATGGCGTCTCCTGTCGCAAAAGCAAGTCGCCCACCGGCAGCTGGTAGAGAGGAGCCTGAAGTGGCTGGAGAGGGGGCTGAAACTTTGCACCGTTTGCTGAGCCCCCAAAAGGAGAAACACAACCAATAGAAAACCCCTGATTTTGTGAATCAGAAACACGGTCAACAACATGGAACAAAACATGGAATTGTCCTATTTCGTTGCTGTTCCACTTTCATCTTTGCTGCATTTCAGGCCGAACCAGCTTTTCAACCTATGCCTTGCCAGCCCTAACGAATGCGGCAAATCTGACCATGATTGTTTTTTCTTGCAATGGTTCCAACCCCTCACCAAACCAAGATTCTTTGAGGGAGAGATAGGAAGAGGAGAGTATGGAAGCAATTGTCACGAAACCTGACCTCTGTTGCTCCATCTGCGTTCACCGCATCAAAAATTATCCAAACAGGTTACATTGCAGCGCTGTGACTGCATGACAAAGGCATAGGATGAACCCAATCTGTTTCGCTGGTTCATAGAAGGATTTGTACACATATGATCAAGTGGTTCTTTATGGTTCTTCCACACATGACTTTGCAGGTACAACCACTGACCAAGCTCTTCCATCTATCAAGCCACTTTTGAAGAGCTCTGCTGAGCTCAGAACGCAAAAAACGGTCTGAGCTTTCAGCAAGCTAAACGGTCTTCTATAGGGATCTCTGTCAAGCTCGGAACATCCTTTGAAGCACTTTCGACAACTCATGCCTCAGTCATAGCAACCAGTACCTGCGGCAGTTGAAGTTGTAAATCAGGCCAAGCAGCTTGGGACCCCTTTCATGTCGCAACAATATAGGATTGGTATGGATTGGTGGAAAATAATCTTGAACTAGGCCCATGCGCCGCATCCGCAATGCCGCATGCGCCGTGGCAAAGAAATAAGGGGTAAACGGGAGTTTGCCTGACAGGTCAAACACCACGTCAACCCATGAGAGGTTAGGTCGGGCACCTATGCCTTTCTTAAAAGGTCGACCGATCACCCTGAACTCTCCAGGTATAATGTGTTCGGTATATTCCATTACCCAAACCCAATGAATACGCATTTACCGACTATATACTGGCATTGGGACACAACTGCAAATGTGTTCTTCTCGCATCTTCTGCAATTACACCCTTGCAAACTAACATACAGAAACTGAAAACCACTGATCTTGTAGAAGAAAATTATCTTCCCAGGGTCTAGTTTCAGGATGTTTCAGGTTCTATGTCAGTCAACTAGGCCAATTTCAGCTTAAAACCAGAAGTGCTTCGCCAAGAAGTACCACTTGGCCAACTCGCACGTGTGGATCAATTGGTTAACCATGTTCCATGTTCTTCGTCTGCGATGGGTTTCGTCTGTTCGAAGCTCACCAAGGCTGTCACACCATGGACGACGCTGGCACCTCTGGACGCAAGCACTGCGGCATGCCACGACCTCCGGAGACAGACCGTGGGAGACGCCAGCGGGTTGGGTGGGGATCCAAAAGGAAATGGAAGTCGAAAACCATCCGGATGTATCGCAACGGAAATGGGTGGGCGGTGTAACTATATATATGATCCACCTACATTCACCAACCCAAACCACCCAAGGTAGGCCATATTTGCGCCATCATGGATCGTCTGGGTATGATGTAGAAAGACGCAAACATCTTGTCAAAAGTCTGGTTGTGTCGGTGATGCTCGCCATCGGTTTCGCAGGATGTCCAAACGCCATGAGGTCAGGAAATCATTGAGTCTGCAATTGGGAGTGGGTTGGGGTGGCCTCCGTCGCTCCGAATGGATACCCTTTTCGGTGGCCCTGGCGACCTGAGCCGGAGCAGCTATAAGACAAACACAGGGGTGCCTCATGGTCGAAAACTAGGTATACGGTATATCCCCTTACCGGCAATTAAAAGCGGATGATGATGATTCGTGATTAGTAAAGGCCTTTCTCAAAAATCGTGATATGTGTTCTATCGACTGTTACCGGAAATGGGCTACATGCACTCTACTGGAACACTACTCCCCGGAGAACAACAGGCTGCACCGCAGGCCGCTGGAGGCTCCACGTTCACAGTTTAGCATATTGTTTATAGTTTCAGATAGTTTCAGAGTACAATCGCAATTTTGCTGATATCGACCCCCCATCTAGAAGACATCTAGAAGACATCTTGGGGGTTGTGCCATCTGAGTACTCTGAAAACAATGTATATCATCGATGCAAAAATGGGGTCTAGCCTTATCCCAAGTTGGGTGCGAGTTTTTCGGAGGTCTCAGATTTTGCTGGTTGTGTTCTTTCCGATTATGCCGTTTTAGGACCTACGAAACTGTATCGTTTGTCTCGTTCCTTTCTCAGGTTGCCAACGTTTAGCCCATGACAGAAAACAACGTTTTAAGACACATATCGCATAAACCAACAAAGGTTGAAGAACCCTATAGGCTATCCCATAGGTACCACAAAAAATAGGGTCCACCTTCAGGATTTTTCAGGTCATTTCAGGTCATGTGCGGCCATGCCCGAAACCTAAAGAGACGCGCCCTGTACACACCAGGTTCCCCCCGGACTCTTGCGGCAGCCCCGAACCCACTCATGCTGGATTTCTCAGCCCGGGCATCCCGAGCTGGTCAGTTGTGTGAAGGCAGGCGTTGGAAGGGCGGACGCGAGTTCACCCAGGCGAGCCCTGAACGCCGAGCACGCCGGGTGTGGAAGGGGCGGGACCGCAGGAAGGGATGGACGGGTTGTTTCAAAACGTTTCAAATTCCTAAGGCAAAACGTCCAAAATGCGATTTGACATGTCCCCACTCACTTGGGCTGATGGAAGTTGGGGCCTGACTTCTGTTTTGGTGCCTGCCACGAAATCTGCCAACGAGCCACATTGTCCAAAAGCTTCGACTCACTGCACCTGTCACGAAATCAGAGCGCCTCGACGATCACCACCATGTCCAAAGTATCGCACCTGCCACGAAATCTGCACTTCGAAGCAAAACCGCTCCGATCCCCTGCACCTGTCACGAAAAGTCGGCTTTGGACCACCAAAACACAAGGTTTCCCTTGCGCTTGCCGCGAAAAGTGACCACCATGTGCGAAAATGCGCGCGGCACCACAACGAGAGCGCAGTCGCGACAAGCACCCGCCACGGCCACGTTGACGATTTCGAGAGACATGAATGCACTGTATGTAAATATAGCAGCGAATAAGCTGGACACAGCCACGCGGCACAGCGATCTAAGCACAGCTGCTTAACCCCTACCGTAAGAACCCCTAAGTGTGTCCACACTGTTTGGGAAGTAGTTTGCACATAAAAGTTTTTTGCTGCAATACTAGGATTACCTGAGCTAATCATGACAATTGCCCTGGGTAATTCATAAAATTGTCTTGGGTATTTATTTCCTTTTGCACTTTTGGAAACTTGCACCCCAGCAGCAAATACTTGTTTCACTCATCAAGTGACAGCTCATAGTGGGTTGCCACACGAACATGCTCTGGCATTTTGAGTGTGGTTGGCTTCCATGCACACACTATTAGCACAACGCTGCTTCGCAGCCGGGCTTGTCCTGGTTCCTGGGGCTCGTCCTGGCAACCTCTTTCTATAGGCTTTCGAAGGCAACGTCAGGCACTGGCAACGGGCAACCTCTGTTTTCCACCCTTGAACCCTTTTTTTCCACCCGGCCCTTCTTCTTCAACCCTCCACCTTTCTTTTTGCACCCTCTCAACCTTCTTTATTCACCCTCGAACCTTCTTTTTTGACCCTGGACCCTTTCTTTTTCAGCCTCCTTCCTTTGCTTGGTGTGTTGGTGGATGGCTAGCTTGTTGTAACGCAAACCAAATATCGACAGCCTTTGGGGAAGACACAGGGTTGTGTGGTTTTGGTTGCTTGGTTGTTGGTTGCTTGGAGGGCTACAAATGCAAAGCAAGTATCGATAGCATTTGGTGAAAACACAGTTGGTTGCTTGCTTTGCTGGTGGCTGGGTGGGCTACCCACCCTTTCTTTTACAGCACTAGTATACACACATCTTCAATCACATTCAATCTTCTAAAAAACTGCACTCCCACAGCCTGCCACTCTCTGCTTTTTACCCTACTTCCTTTGGTTGGTATGTTGGTTGGTTCGGCCTGCTTGGCTTGTTGGTTGCTTCGATTTGGTGAAAACACATACAGTGATGGGTGGATCATGGACAAGGAGAAAATGTAACTTTTTGGTGTGTTGGTTGCTTGGCTTGCTTGCTGTTGATTGCTTGCATGATACAGTGCTTGATGGAGATGCAATGTTTTCTGTTTGCGTGCTTTTTTCCGGCGGTCCCCATCGTTCCGGAGAGTCTCTGCTCAGTTTCCGGAGGGTTCCGAAGGTAACAAGAAGTTATTGAGGTGAAAACAAAGGGTTTGGCAGGCGCAAACAAGCGGTGTGAAACAAACCGGAGGTGACATCATTCTCTGTGCAGGTTCCAGGGGTTACCTGCTTCACCGGCGGAGGGTTGAAAAGAAATTGTCGAGGGTGAAAAAGAAAGGGTGAAGGGTGAAGAAAACAAGGTGAAGGGTGAAAGAAACATGCTACAGGGTGAAAATGACAGGGTGCAAGGTGAAAATAAAAGGTTTTGGAAGGGTGGAAAAACAAGGTTCCAAAGACAAAAAAGGAATCTTGAGGGTGAAAATCAGGTTTCGAGGGTGGAAAAAGAGGGAGGGTGAAAACAAACATTGTTCAAGGATGAAAAAAAGGGAGCCCCGCTGGCAACGGTCGCCCCCTGCTCCGTGAAAACCTCCAGGGCCAGGGCCGCGTAGTGACTCAACTTCTTCAGCTCTTCATAGGCGTAGCTGCCGATACTGGCGCCTTCATGGCCAAACCCACCGACCATGCGCAAGTCGTTGCAGATGACTGCTCTACACCTTGGACAAGCCAACAAAGCCAAGAGTCTCCTTGAACTGTGCCAGGAACCGCTGAGGTATGTATCCATCGTTGACCATTCCCCTGAGCACACACAAGAGGAAGAAGCGGTCCCGGCCATCGCCTTCCAACCTTGGCTGCTTCAGAAACCTCTGCAAGTCTGCCAGCAAAACTTTCAGAAGCGATTGAGACTTCAAGTCTGGACAACTTCTTTCTTTGCAGCCAGCTGGCTGGGATATCTGGCGGTAAATATGCATCGTAGCCCTTGATTCCTGTTGAGTCCGAATAAATGGAGTTCCCTCTCGGCCGGTCGGCCATCGGTCGATGCCGCACCCCGCCTGCAGGTTTCGCAAAAACTGAGCTGCTTCCAGCGCCACGTAGGACAATTCAAATCTGGAGGACTCAGTTGTTGGTTTGTGGGGGACTCTCGCAAGAGGCCCGAGGCCACTGAACCCAAAGGCCAAATGGATCACGCGTCACCAAGACTGGGCAAAGGAGAACCAGGTGGGGAGAGCACCGGGCTCGGAGCTCCATGCAAGCACCTCACTGCATCTGCCGGCAACATACAAACACTACATTGCGTCGCCTGCTTGGTGGTTGCTGTTCCATGAAAGCAAGACTTGCGATAAATTCTATCGCCATAAAGCGTCAATTAGCGTCAAGGAGCTCCTCGCATGTCAAAGCGTGATTGCTCCCACCACAAGAAGCACGGCACACCACGCAAAGACGCCTGGCTGATCGATTAAAAGTACCTTCTCTTCCATACCATGTGATTTGATTTCTACCTCTTTGATTTGCCTATCTGGTTGATGCAGAAAAATGGGGCATGTGGACACAAACCGTCAAAACAGAAGCCAAATGCTCCTCTCTTGTCGATATTGGGATTGCTAAAAGTAAAACTCCTTAGGTGGGAAAGGTTCTTCTTGTAACCCAGCTGCGGTTTGCATGCGTACTCTGGTCTGTCTTAGCGTCTGCGGTCTCATCATCGCAGTCTGCTACTATCGGATGCCCATTGGAAAGCGTGGCCATGGTTGCTACCCCCGCTACCAGCTCTTCATCATCAGGTGGAAGGGTAAGTAGACATGTTTCTTTTGCAAGGGGACCTGAAGTGTTTGAACATGAGGCTCATCACAAGTCATTGATGTTTCCAGTCGCTGAACAATAAACATCACTTTGGTAGAAACTGCCCCAAAGGTGGACCCCTCATGAGACAGCAAAAACAACATACAAACATAGAAAACAGTCTTCCTGAGAATGTTCAACACACCAATACGGGGGTACCAAGCCAATCCCAGCTTTTTGGATGCTTTTGACACCAGATTTGGGGCATCATCCCTTCAACTCCACCCACACATCACCAGAACGGATCACAGGATTTGCTGTCCAGGAACAGGCACTCCCCTGTTTTGGGGGATTCACCATGATTCACCCATGGCCCAATATCATCACCCTACATCACCTTCAAGGCTTAAAACCAAGCACATGGCATCGCAGTTTGGCCACTCCTCGCCTTCCAGAGGTGGCTTTCACCTGATCCCGCGTAGCGTGTCGCGTGGCGTGTCGTGTCGCGTGGCTGGTGTGGGCGATGCCAGAACTTCCGCAGCACTGTCATGTGTAAGGCCTCTCCGGTTGGGTGGTGGGTGGAGGTGATACAACTCCATCAAGGAACCTGACTTGCAGGGTGGCCAAAGGGTGTTCAGTGCGGCCTGAGCTCACCAAAACACATATATAAATGATAGATGTGCGTTAATCCCCCAAGCAATTTGAACAACGGAACCTGCATTTGTGTCAACTGTCCATGGTCTTCTATCCCTACGCTAAATTGCTGAATTACTCATGCACTAAACTCCATTGTGGGTCGAAAAGTGACACGGGTTGTAGGCATATATAATGAGTTCGACAGCTGGCACCAAGCTTCCCTTCGGATGAACTGTCATCTGCAACACACAACTCCCGTGCTGATGAAGCTGGACACTCCTTGTGTGGATAGAGACCACCAAATGAATTCTGATAGACTCCCTAAACTCATCATGGAAGTGGAAAGCCTCTTATCTAGTAAGATAAAATTCATCCAAAGGGGCATGAAAGACTTCCATGATGATTCCATGGAGTGTATGTTGAGATCTGCAATGGGCGGCACGAATGGGTGACATGCAGTCGGGAGCGACTACGAATGCAGTCCATGCGGTCTTTCGACGGATTTCAAACGTTCAAACCTCCAATTCAAGTGATTTGTGCAGAGCTGGTTTTGCAGAGTCTATACAGATTCCAAAAGAGGAGACCCAAATGGATCTGAATGAAGAGCCCGAGTACCCTAGTTCGACTATCACTAGTTCGACTGGCCCAGTAATCCGGGTCCTTTTTTCTCAGCAAAAACCTCCGCCGAGTTTTGAGCCTCGAAGATAGACTTGGCCGGAGGCAAAGGCCTCGGGTCGGACACTCCGAAGCACATAACCGATAAGACAAAATACACCGGTTTTCCCGAGCTTTTCTCCACCAAGGCCAAGGTTGTGCCAGCAAAATTGAAACAACAAAGCCCTTGGATACCTGGATACCCATATACCTACCGCCTATACCAAACAAACTACCAAACAAAACGAGGCAACTGGAACGATGGGGGCATCCCAGTATATAGATGGCTTTAAGATGATCATTTTTTCACCTCGCCTGGCTACTTCATACGTTCATAGTTCTTCTTCTGATGTGATACCGATTCATCCCCCCTGAACACTGCGTGATCAGGTATGATCAAGAGCATGTTCATCATCTCCTACATGGTAATGACAATATGAAGAAGCGGTACCAATTGCATCCAAATTCCAATGTTTCACTGCTAATTGTGGAATGTTGATTCATTGACAAAAACCCATCTGAAGAGGTGTTGCGATCCAAATGGGGTGTGGGTGTGATAATATCATCAACATTCATCAACATTCTACAGTACAGGCTTTGGCGTGCCCGTTCTGGAACTGCCGAAATCAGCACCGTCTGGGCGGATCGGATTCTCAGGGAGCCACTTCTCCTCCGTCACCTGGCGCGATCCGACCGATTCTCACCATCTCTCGACGTGGACCGATAGACGGTCATTGGTGTTCCGAATGGGGGTCGTTGGTGTTCACCTGAAGTGGATCTGCCCACGGTGAGCATTGCCGGTGCATCTCCTCCTCTGGCCTTTGCGGGCAAAGAGTTTGCCTTCTAAGTGTGGAGGGATGAGCCTGGATGAGTCTGCCAAAGCACAAGATCCAGACAAGATGCGAATCCAGTCCTTATAGGAGTTCCCAAAAGCCACCACTTTGGCTGAGCGATTTTGCGAGTTTGCCCCCCATTCCAAAACAGGATCCCACCTGGCCGGATCCTGTCTGCCCATCCTGTGAGGTTGTGAAAAGTTCCAGTTTTGCCTGTTTTCCCTGCCCTGGTACCTCCAAAATGATACCATCCGTTCCTGGAATCTCCTGGCACCCAAGACTGAAACGAACTGGACGACTGGATCTTTTTTGGGGCTGAAACTTGAGCCAACAAATGAGCGTTGGGCTTGGGAACATGCAGCCTGGCCACCTGCCCTCCCGCCTACCCTCCGGCCACTTGCAGCTTGTGCCCCAACTTCCCTGATACCCAAACTCTCAAGTCCAGTGTAGGGTTCTAAGATGTTCTAACGAAGCTGAGGCTAGTTGCTTTGTTTCACTATCTCCCAACTTTTCCTATCCTACAGTACCAGAAATGGTGTTGTCTATCCCAAAATTCACCAACAAGCTTACCATTCCGAAGTCACCAGAATTTCCATCAGAAATCTTGGCACTCTTAGAGTCAAGACTCCTCACTTGTTGGACTGATTCGGACTGATCGAAAAAGGCCCTCTTTCCCCACGTTGTAATGTTGATGATGGTAAGGTGATTGCACGAAAGGATAGATGCACTTCTTTCCCCTCAGAAGGTGATTGAAGACACTCTCGTATGGAAACCAGGAGAGTCCAAGATGGTCCCCCTCCGAGAAGGTGGATCCTATCCCAGTTTTACGGGTCCATTTCAGGTCCTCTCTGAGGACTTTCCTCAAAAAATACATACCTAGAAGTTCAGTGGACTTTTCAGGGGTCATCACACGAACCGAACACATGCGGTTCATCGCAGACCTCCTTCTTCTCCTTCTTCGATTTCACCATAGCGGCACTCGGCACTGAAGCTGCCCAGCGTGAGCTTTCGGACGCTTCCAAGAAATCCAGTCGGCTTCCGGAACAGTCGCCTACCGATGGAGGGGAAAGCCAAGACCTTTGGACGTAGGGGTACTAACGGGTCTTTGGAATCTTTGGTCAAGTTGTGCCAAGAAATGCTCAGTAGGTATGCCAAATATACATGCGGTCATGATGCAGTGTTGGGGCGCCCATTGGGGGCATAGAGACACTGTAAACGGGGGGAAGAATGCATTTCATTCACTTAAACCCTCTGCGCAGGCGCACGTCTTTAGTCTGTAGAAACTGCAGTCAAAAAATACCGAACTGGCGCTGTCTGACTTGTGTATATCTTTGGGGATATCCAAAATTGTGTACGGCTTGTACGTGTGCACCTCTTTCTACCATGTCGTCTTCTTTCGATCACACGTGCAAGCCAAGCTGAAATGGCTGTGGAACTGGTGGAGATGGCGTGGAGGAAGCACCAAGGAAACACGCGTATACAAATTGTGGGTTCGCAACCTGGATCTGTTGTGCACCCATCATGGTAGTGAGCTCCTACAAAACAACAGTCACGTTGTGACCACCATGGCATTGCTACGCCCCAACCGATGGTGACGATGTGGAAATTGGCGACGCGTGAGCAGTTCGGAGTAGATTTGCACCAAACATGAGTCTCCAACAAAAGCACAGACCTTTGCGATGCGAATGCCGTCTCTTCGCTTCTCGCGAATGCCGTGTTGCATTTTTTCCGAGCCATGGCAACTGCAACAACTAACAAAAACACAGGTATAAAAAGAACAAACTTAACCAATTGATATAGTTTTATTATATATATATATGTGTATTGCTTTCTCGATGTTTGCCATGCATGCATCATTTCCCGTGTCTGACACAACGGCCCAAAACATCGACCGAGACGGAGGCGTGCTCGGCGGCCACGCCGACATGTGTCTGACCAGCGCATCGAGACGGAGGTCTAGTTATATAAGAAGGATTGATCCAACAAACCTCGCCCTAGAGCTCAAAGACCTCATGTTTAATTGGAGCTGGTCATACAAAACACTACTCTTACTGGGTCAGACTGGACGTATGTAAGGTCAAAGGACAAGGCCTTTTGTGGTTTGGAGACCTGGTGCATCACGAGATTCTTCACCGATTTTCTCATTTAGGGTGAAGATCCTCTGGAGATTCATCTAGCATCCACCCAACACACCGCAATTTACAGTAACTACCCCCAGTTTCTCGCCGTGACATTTGACATTCGGTTCTCACCATCGCACGGCGTTTCCGCATCTTTTCAGGATCCCAGTTTCTGCCATCTCCTCAAGCAAACGCCCATGACAGTGGTGAAGGTGGCCAAGGTGAGTACCAAGTAGGTATACCTCAGCACGATGAACGAGTTCATTCCTGGTCATTTGGTCTTGGATGGATTGGTCGGTTGGTAGGTCGGTGGGTTGGTTGGTGGGTTGCTTGCTTGCTGGGTTCTTCTGCTTCCTCTTGCTGGGTGCTCGCTACCGTGAACATAAAACCTTGGAGGGTTCCAATATGAAACATTCAAACCACAATTAGTTCCACAAGGGCTCATGTGGAACAACATCATCCTCTGTCTTTGTGCTAGCTGCTAGTTAGGAGTTGCTGTGGATCCATTATCTTGATGTGGCAAGGAGTGGAAACCAAGGTACATATCTCATGTGCTCATGGGGACATCATCGACATCTGTCTCACAATGCCTGAGTGCCAGTTGATCGAAAGCTCTGTCACCCTCGTCGAAGTTGTTCTTTCACCCATTTTTCACTCAGAAAGTTCCAGGAAAAACAACAAACATTCCATGTACGCCACATTTGCCGATCAGTTTTGGGGTGTTTTGAATGATCAACATATAAAGCAAAGCAAACCAGTCTGATGGAGTGCCTGGAATTCACGGTCGCCCTCGAAGAAAGCCTTGTGGGAAACCATCTATTTAATTTCAACCTCCTCTAGGTTGGAGGCCATTGCTATTAGGTTGGAGACCATCGCCTTTTGGGAAACCCTCCAGCTGCTTCGTTCGTCCTACACCCCGCCAAACCCACCACGTCCTGAGCGCCGATCTGCCCTGCCTCAAACTGACTCGTCCAAAAGTGGGCGGCGGATCGCGCTTCAAAATCAGCTCCTCTCGCAGCACGGTCTGCGTTAGGTAGATCGGTCGGCATACCCAACCCAGTGGATCTAGGCACACCTAGTGGTAGCCGTAGCTCACCAGTGATTCCAACACACAAACAAACCGTAGACCGTTCTGTTCTTCCTGCTCCCTTGTATAACATTACTATATTAATAGTAATGTGGAATATTATTAATAGTATTACTGTATTACTGGGATAGTAATACAATACCGTATCCCTTATAGCAATAGTGGACTTCCTGGGATCCACTGGGAAAGGCAGATCGGCTGCAAAGCTGCAGATCTGAAGAAGCCTGCATCGGACAGGTAGATTCAGGTAGATCAGTCTGTGAACATCTCGATTTCTCTGTTGCGGCACGGTCCTACTAAGAGACAACTCACCAAATGACGACATGCCAACAAACAAACACAACAAGCTAGAAATCAACTAGGTCTTACTAAACCAGCATGCTTGAATGCTCTTGAGCACGCAGACTGAAATAGCTTAAGACTGGTTCTAGAATCATCCAAAGTGAATATTCTGAGCAACATCAAAATTTGGTCACACTGAAATCGAAAACACATCCAATGGAGACAGGTTGATGTTCTTCTCACGCAGTTAAACACTCAGAGTCTGTAAAACAACTCGTATATACATCCAATATGATTGTAAACACAAAAAGTGTATCCCCTCTAAAGCCGTGTTGATAAACATCTCGTTCTCTATTTGGTGGCCTGTGTTGTTTGAAGACTTGAGTGAGATCCCCGTTTGCCAATTACATCCAATTCCCCAATATAATCCTACAATCAAAGGACAACCCTCACGGATATGTAAGTTTTGTAGAGGTCAAACCAACCCATCTGAAAACTCCCCAAACCTTCCACTGGAATCTTGACCAACTGCATCTCACACAGAACATCTCAACTGTATCCAAAGTCTTCCCGCTCTTCAGGTTCTGTTGTTTTCGCGCACCAATCAAAAACTGCACACTCTTGAATAACAACACCTGAATGTCGACAACATTATCCATTACTTGTTTCCCACCCCACCTTGATGGCATAGTAGCGAGCTTGGCCGGTGTACAAAAGGACCAGCACCAGCAGCGCCATCAGAACCTCGCCTGGGACCCGCTTGCGGCTTAAGGATCGAAAGCAAACAAACAAAACACATAAACCAGCAGTCACAAAGGGGTGCTTAATAGAGGTTAAGGGTGCCTATTATCTACTCACTTAGGGACTAAACACCACCCCTTTATGACTCCTGGAACACACCTTCAGCTGTTGGATCGTGAGAAGAAAAGCACCTCTCTGGGAGATGAGAAAACAATCAACAATTAGCCCATCAATAGCCCTAGGCCCTAGAAATGGGAAAAGAACAACACATCGACTCCAATTCATTCCCCCAAAAAAAGACTTGGCCCAGGGGGAAGCTTTCTTTATGACGCGTTCATGTCACAGGCGCAGCCGAAAAGACGACGACTGCATAGATCCATGAGCGGGTCAGGTCGCTGGCAGTAATGCTGGTCTCCCAGAATCGGTTGATTCCGTCCATGGCCTCGGGTCAGGTCGCGAGGAGATAGGTCAGCGGGGCGTAGGTGGAGCGAGAGAGGTGGAGCGGGTAGCCCAAACACGACGATGGGACTGGGACTGGAATATACCACCTATAGACCCAGAAACGGACTGGGACTGGGTCGGTGACTGCATTGGTGGTTGACTGGGACTGGACCTATAGACCCAAATGCACCCACCACCAATGCATGTTCCACCGCCAAACGCAACGACCTGACCACACTCCAAACACCCAAACGACCTGACCACCGCCCGGCTTTTGGACCACACCCCGGTCCTCACGATCAATTTGACACTCCGTAAAGTTGGGTTCAACGGGTTCTAAGTCTATGTAACATGTATGAAAGACTTACCTATACATGGATGAGTCTAAGTACCAGCTTCACAAAACACATCTATTCCGCCATCGGTGAGCGTTACACGTGGTACCGGGCCCCACGTCGCGACTCGGCGAATCCCAAGGGGTCCCACGCCCTTGGACGGAGCGACATATCAAAGGACCTTCCCTCCCGAAGGAAGTCGGACATCAGGTGATCAATTTTACAATACTATGTAGCTGTATACACTGGCCATTGGGTATATCATGGTATATCATGGCATATCATATTCACTGTATATCCCATTCCTCCCATTCCCTGGGCCCAGTGGATGATGATGGTTAGATTGGCGGGCTAGCAGGCCATTCTTTGGACATACTAATACTAAGACCAGACGGCTCTGCAGGTTTCCCGGGAGACCCCGAAGATTCAAATCTCTTGACATTGGGTCCTGATCGTCCACGTGGCAGCAGGACTTTGCATCATCGGTGGATGTGGAGTTTTTGTTTCTCTTCGTGGGTCTTCTGGAATGAGCACAAGTAACATCAAGAACTTGGCAGCCTTGGCAGCCTGAAACTATGAGTGTCACAATTAGGAAAATCAGGGACGTTCAGGAACCTTCGGAATACCAAATCTGGGTCCTTTGCAAGGAACACATGCTGTGATTCCCGAGTTGAAGATCGCCCGACAAGCATCACTCATCACCGACTGGCTACCGAGTTTAAATCACTGGCTGTACTCCCAACAATTTTGAGCAGCCTTTCTCTGCCGTCATTCTTTAGATCTGAATATTCCAAGCCAATTTTTGCAGCATACACTCTGAATACATGTTGCACACATGCACCTACGTCCTCATCCAAACCTGTCGCAAGGAACTGGGAAAACGTCACAGTAACTTGGCTCCCCCATTCCCCCTCAGATCCCAAGTAGATACTTGTTAGGTCATCAAAATCCACATAATAAGTAGTGATCAGGTACGTAAGACTCCGACTTGATCAGGTACCAGTGGACTCAGCTACGAGGTCTCGCGTGGGGTTGACCGGTTGACCACGGCACCACCGGTCCCGTGCTCTCCCAGCGCCCCTTCGGAGCCCGGCATAGAAAACGAAGATCGTGCGAATACCTCACAGACGCTTCCGCTTCCGGAAGGGTTCCCGTTTCTTTTTTGGGTGTGGCAATGGAGTCCTGGAGAGACCCCCCATTTCCTATGGGTTTTGAGTCTATGTCTGTGTCCTCTTGTTGGGTCCCGGGGTCTTTGGGTTCGAAAGAAATTACTCGGGATCCTGTCAGCACACCAATGTAAACGCGCTCTCCGGAGTCTTCGAACAAAGCAAAAGACGAGTAAAACACTTATTGACTTTGAAGCTTTTAGTGCTCGTAAAACACTATCGAACCCCAAAAACGAGCATAGCTCGTCTCAGGGTTTGGATGATTGACCGAGGTCATGACACGTCTTCCCTCATGAGACATGCGACCACTGGGCTCTGCTCGCAGATGCGATGGCGACTAGAGCCACCGAGTAGGATCCAAAGACTCCAAGGGGACTGGCATATCATGGAACCTGAGAAGCTGCTTGGAGCTCTATCGTATGGAATTTGATTGTTACATGGACTCCCATGAAACTACCTTATATAACTTTATATAGGTACCCTGACACTCCATGGGACTGGCATATCATGGCATATCTACCTACATTGGGGTGGTTGACCTGTGGGGTCAAGGCATGTGCAGGCAAATATTCCCAGTGCCTAGGCAAAGCACACACGGATAGTGGACTAGTGAATCAATCCAAAAAAGTGGTGTAGGTAGGGGTCAAATCTTAGAATCTAAGGAAAGAGCATCTGGCTTCGGGAGATGAACATCAAATTTTTGGTTTCATGTCCCACACCCATACCAAATTTGGAGGTTTGGAAGCAAAAACAACTCAAAGAAGTAGCACACTCTTCTTGGACTTCCCTCAGGAATCTCCATACAACCATCTAATAAAGAATTCTTGAACAGTGATGTTCGGTGCACCCAGGCACACAGCTCCCGCGCTCGCTCCCGCGCTCGCTCCCGCGCCTGCCATGGCCGTTCGAAGCCAAGCCAATAAGGTCCTCAGTCCAACTTGCGACGAGTAACAAGTGCCACAGTTACTAGTAACAGGTGCCTTACTACTAACAAGGTTCGCAATTAGAATTAAAATTAAAATTAAATGAATAGCTTTTTGTTACTACCAGTAAGGCACTTGTTACTACTAGTGAGGCACTTGTTACCGGCTCCACACGGGTCGGATCTCAGGTCCCGAGGTCTCCGGAGGTCGGATTTGGCGAAAGCCTCGTGGAGCTCGATGATCACTGCCAATTGACCTGCTTATTATCCCCTATACGCCTATACCCACCAAACCGTTGATAAGCTGACTCTGATCGCGTTCTCTTGCATTGGCGCCACCCTGGCAAGCCCGCGGGTACGTATGTAGACGTGATTGATTGGAACATAGGGGGAGCTGGTTGAAACATGTCCTGAAAAACCAAACACACACCGCAGGCACCGCAGGTGCCTGGGTGCTGTTGTCGGAGGTGCGACAGGATCGTTCGCCGTCGCCAGAGACAGGCGACAGGCGAGCCATAGGACACACACCCCAGATCGGTTACCGATCCCCAAGACTTCCGTTCGACCATTCAACAAATGGTTTTGGTAAACTCCTTAGTGTAAACGGAATTGTTTAATGGTAATAGTGGTAAATTCCTTGGTAAACTTCCATTTGGATGGAATTTCTTGTAGTGCTAAACTCCGTATAGTTGATTCGGAATCAAGCCGGATCCGAGCGAATGCGAAGGAAGCGGGATCCATGGCGAGCTCGCCAAAGACCAGAGCACGGAGCCCATGTTCCATACGGAGTGCCATAGAGTTTGGGTGCCGGGCACCCGGTTCCGGAGGAAGGAGGTAGTCGGTGCCCCGAACATCACATCCACTCACTGACCCTGGTGTGGCACTACATTTGAATATGTTCATGACCCAGAGCCATATATACCTTAAAGACTCCATGAAACTGGCATATCATACCCCAGACACTCGGAACTGGAACTGGAATATTTACCTGCATTGACCCCAGGTCAACCACTCCAATGTATACCAGCAGTTCCAAAGGAATGGAGTCCCATCCAGTGAGTGGATGTTCTGGGAACCCGTCTCCAAGGACGCCCCGAAATGGAACTGTAGATATATGCCAGTTCCGCCGACGGATTGCATTGGAGCCTTCATGAGCCTTGAGTGGGAGAGTCAAAGGTTCGACTTAGTCAGTTGTTTCACTTGAAGAAGAACATGTTGAGGAAGTGTCTCTCGAAGAAAGAACTGTTTTCTGGATCTTGGCACTGCAACCATGCACAATGAGCTAGCTTCTGCATGACTCCAAGAATGGTCCACCCCGTGCTCCAGAACTGCAGCAAGGTCTTCTTGTAGATTAAACTCACTTATCGTGTCCTTTTACATGTCTTTGACCATGTGAGGCAGTGAGCCATCACCGGCTTCCACTCTCCATAGGCTCCCACAGGCTTGATGTCTGCAACATATCACTAAAAACAAATACTTGATACATATAATGAACATGTAATGAACAAACATATCATATCATATCATATCATGATATCATATATGAAAGTATCATGGTCATATCATATCAATATTATGACCCACAGGCTGCCGGATGAGGCTGGGCAGCGTCGTTGGCGCCGGGATAAGACCTTTCTTTTTTTTGCCTCAGTTGGTCTGAGCGTCCGCACCGCTCATTGGCGAGATCCGTGGCCAAGCGATTGAAGCCTGGGCGAGATCGCCCGCGAGACGTGGCTGGAGCATGACTGAGATGGTCCATGACTGGGGAGGCAGTCTTTGGGAGGTCTCCCTTATCACCCAAACACGACCGGTGGGAGGTCTCTGTATCTACGAAACGGCCAGGGGTGGTTGACCTGGGGTCTATATATAAGAGTAAACATCCCATACATGGAATGACTAGGGGAGTGTGTAGCATGTGTAGCATGTGTAGCTGTTGGGATGGGGCACTGGGCCCGAGTCTGCGGTAGTCTGCTTTGCCTTTGACCAGGGAACTGTTTTAATGGTTTTTTAATGTTTTTTAATGGTTCTGGAAGACGCCATGCGATGAGACCGAATTACGACCAAACCAACCTTTTGTGATACTCATCAAGAGGCTGAGCGCCTAGGCCACGATTTGATCGATTTGTGTAGACTCGGTGCTGCCCAGTGGATGATGGTGAGGTTGCAAGCTGACATCTCTAAAGTAGTGATGTTCTTGTTTACCGACGGTTTTTGCAGGTATAATCGCTAAGACCCAATATAGATAATATAAGCCCAAGGGATCCACATCATTACCTTCTCAGGTTCGGTATGACTGGGCCCTCCTGGCGCCTACATAAAAGGTCTCCAATCACCTGAGAAGGTACTTGGATCCCTACCAGGACCCGACTCTACAGGTCACCAATTGAGACCTGAGACAGGGTCCAACAACCCTCAACTGACAGCCTGTTAGGGTGCTGGTAGGGAAGTCTATTTGGGGAGACCCCCGAGTCATCTCACCCCGATCAGCTGGGGTAGACTGGTGATGTCTATGTCCCGAACCGAAAGCAGGGGGTCGTTGCCACCAATGATAGGTCCCTATTTGAGCGTCTGTGTACACAAATGCTCCAAACAGCCCTTGGTCCCTTAAAGCCTAGGGATTTGAAACCGCAGACCCCCCTATGTAGGGTGCATGAGCGTCTGGGTATGCAGCATTTGGGGTATCCCCAGCCTAGCCCTGCGACATGGCCATCTCTCAAAACCCTTTTCATCCAGTAGACAGCCACGGCCACGACCGGCCCACGTAGGCATTGAACAAACCTCATCTTCCTTCACGGTCAGCGGTCAGCGGACCTTCCTCCCACACTCTACCCTCTGGGAACTTGTCGATTGTTCTTGCTGCAAGCAATCTGACCACGGACCGAAAAAACCACACGCAACTAGGGCATGAAATGCTGGAAAGCATCACGGAATTGTGGCATTCCAGGCCCCTGCGGTTTCATCACTAGTTACTCTCTAGTCTAGTTCACCACCCTGGGCTCTTCGTCCTTTCGGAACATCCGCTCCACCAGACCCCCGATCCGTCCGGTCGCCCGAGCGACGTTCCATGGCGGTGACCAGTTGATCCGTCTGCTGCGTGAAGTTCTCCCAACGCACGCGAGACATGCGGAGGAAGCCTCAGCTGTTCTCCGAGAAGGTCGGGAACGGTCGGTGGAGCTGGAGCTGAGGTCGGTCTTCCGTCTTCCGTCGTGCCAGCACAGGTGTGGCGAAAGAGAACTGAATTCGGGTGAGTCTAAGAACAACGGTAATATAGGGTGTGTGTCGGAAGAAGGAGATTTCACCAGTTGAACCCCTGTGGGCAATGGCAGGGGGGGGGACTGAACGAAAGGGGCTATGACATTGTTACGAGCGAGTGGTGTCAGGAAGCCTTCCAAAGATCAACGAGCGTGCAACCCATCTTCCATACAGAATCGCTACAGGGAGAAAGTCAGTCCTCCATTCCTCAGGATTCCTTGACATCTTTAACAAGACGACCCCCCTGACAAACGCCATGGGAGGGCCTCAAAGTTGCATTCCCGCCTGAAACTACTCCCTCTCCTTCCTCGTCTAGGAGCTGGTGTAGCCCGGGTTCGGCGCTTCTCGAGCATTCGGAGCATTCTTCGGGCTGATTCCCTCAGGAACCGTGCGACAAAAAGGATTGACTTCAGCTGGAAAATCTTGACTTAACCCGATTTGGATTGCATGGGTTCCCCAAAACGTTTACTGTTGGGTTTCCTTATAGGAACATTAGGAAGCCCAACAATGCTGAAACCGTTTGGGGTCTATGCTGGCATGTTCTGGTTCTTTCAGACCTCCCCCAGTTTCAGAAGGGCTTCACAGCTCAAACACCACAGCCTTCTGAACAAATGACGCCTTCTGGACATACCATTTCTGCTTTGACACCTTCTGTCTTTCATGGTCTTTCTCGGTCTTTCTGTTGACTTCACTGCCGACCTGTCATCCAAAGCAGCAAACCCAATATGATATCCAATCAGAAGTTCAAAAGTTCAAAACGGCTTTTGGAGTCCCAAACACGACTTTGGGACTGGGAAGTGAATCAACAGCTGAAGTTTGGCTCAGCAATGACGATCAAGCGGTCTAACCTCACAGTGAGTCGTTCGATCAAACCCACCAGCTGGCGCTCAGGTGTGGGATGTGAAGAAGTACTTACTGGGATGCTAACTGCTTAAAAAGTGATTCCCTGGAGTCTTCAGCTGCTTCAGGCAATCAAGACTTCATACAATATATCATAATACATCTTGGGTCTATCCTATTCCTTGGGCCCAGTGGATGATGATGGTTAGTAAAGGCCTTGTTCAAACATCGCGATAGTTGTTTAGAGGCTGTTACCGGTAGACCCAACATATATAAACATATATAGACACAAATGATGACTGCAAATGTATGGACTAGATCAGCCACTGATCCGACATTTCCTTACATCATGTTGGGTATATAGATTAACTATATATAACTAGTCGATCGGAAGTACCATCCAACACCCCCCACATCCAGCAGCTCCACATAGCTCCACACACCAACAAGCACCTGATGTTTCACCACCTAAAAACCCTGGTTTTCGCCCACAATCCCCTGATGTTCAACACATCTTCACCTCTTCAAAACCTGGTTCTTGTCCAACTGGACCACCCTCCCAGGACAAAATAAAACACAACGCCCTGGTACGTCGGGCGAGGAGGCAAAGCTCGAGGTCGCATCCTTCGCGGTCGACCGAGATTTCGTACCAAGAAGAAGGTCTCTTGGAGCTGGAACTGGTAGCTGGTAGATGCTGGTAGAGCTCATCTGCCAGCTGGTAGATGTCAGAAAATGGTCGTGTCTTCGATTTGCTTTAGGACACCAGGAAGACTAACATTTAAATGAATCCTGGCTCCACAATTCACCCGGCAAAGCAAACATCACCCTGAACCAGGTTCAAGTGGAGCACTGTGGAAACCTGGAGCAGGCCGCGTGTCTGGAATACCGCCTTTTGTTCACGAGTGGATCAGCCGCGTTCCCACGGCGGCTTTCCGCTTGGCGAAGCCATACACGTACGACCCCATGTGGAAGAGGTTTCATACTCTGCTTCCCGAACGATGCGAAGGTCCAGGTCCGAGGTCCAGCTGACCGGTGGTCACTGAAATCACCGGACCACGTGAATCGGAACGTGAAATGAATCATGCCAGCTTCTTCAGTACGTGACCTTTTGAAGGTTCCTTTTCGTGACCCAAACAGGAGGCTCAAGTGACCGAAACAACCAGGTTATCAAGTTCGGTCCATTTGAAGAACCAGGTGCAATTTACATGCCAATTCAATCCACCCTCAAAATTGGTCACAAATTCAATCTCAATCTTCAACCCCTCTCGTCCATGTCATTCTCGAAGTCTGGGATCCCTTCGCCTACCCCCGGGGAGATCCGGTGCCTCGGGCGCCGACATGAGGTCCCTCTGCGCCTTGAGCGATCGGACGTGGGGTTCACCGCCACTTAGAGCCGATGCGTTCACTCAGTGAGTGGGTTTAGGGTTTAGGGTTTAGTAAGTGGAAGTGGGTGTGTGATGGTGTGTTATTTTTTGTGGGACGCGATGCCCCTGTCTCGACCTGAAAGTGGCTTTGCGGCTTTGCTTCCTGTCAAGGCCTGCCCTGCTGCTCCCTCCTCCCCGTTCCCAACCAATGGCCAGACTGGTCCATAGAAATCCCTTCACCGAACCCCGGGAGCTCGGAACGCCACGCCAACGGTGGCCGGGAATCATCTCGTCTCCCGCTACGGGACGTGGACGGACGTTGACGTTGACCCCCGTTACGGTGAACGTCACGGAGAAGTAGAAACTGGATGCCACGCCACTCTCAGCACATCACCCCAACTCCAGAGGTCAAGTCTGACCTTTTTTGTTTTTTCGACCCATCACCCTGGGGTGATAGTCTATAGGCACAGTCGATCTATAGGGTCCTTCAACTGTTGAAACTCCTACTCCTACCGTTGTTGCTCGGATCCAAAGAGTCCGACTTGCCTTTGGAACACGGGAAGGCATGGCATTGATGTTTAATATGGTTCAATTAGAATCTAGATGTGTCTCGGAACCTTGGACAATGGATTGCTTCCAACCTCAAAGAATTTGCTTTGATCTCATGCAAGTATCTCTTCAAATGATCCTGGAATGTCTGCCTCCCAAACTCAAACAATGGGGTGAAGGGTTGGTCTTGATCTCGTATCAGAGCGGTTCGATATGTCTTGGCCATCTTCATGTTGGGAAGACAGGGACAAGTGGGCAGGGAAGTCAGCTTCTTGGGAAGGGTGGAAGCCATCTGCGGGTGATCTGCGGCACCCTGATTGACTCCACTGAGCTGCAGCAACGAAATTTGAAGAGTTACCTTCAAAAACTGCAATTGCAAACAGTTCTATGTCTATAATGTTCTATAGTATAGTAGTAAGGATGTGATTAAACAAAAAAAACAGATGTTTGTGGCAAAAACAGGTCTACCCAGACGCGACCCCCTTGGATGCTCATATCTCAAATCCCGGGTTTTGAAGGACCAAGGGCTGTGAACGGAGCATCTGGAACTCCGCCCACACCGAGAACTCGCCGCCGTGCACCCCAGTGTTCGCCTGAGGCTCCACTGGCGGCATCATTGGCCGGTTGATATGCACCGTGAGCACCTGGGAGACCTCGGTTGGAAGTCAAAGCTTTGAAGTCCAACCATCGTGGCCAATTCTCGGTGTCTCCGCGTCTCCGCCCGATGCAGATCTACAGTGTGTCTGTTGGTCCAAAAAGGCCCGTGTCCTGCGTGTCCCTGGAATGGAGCGATCGGACAAAAACGGACTCGGGGCTCCTGGCATGGTCCCTTTTTGGGGGAGCAAAACCACCGCCCAACTCACTGCAGTCGAAGGCACTGGGACGTGCTCCACCAGTGCAGGCGACAAGGGCAGCACTGGCCCCTCAGCCTCCGGCGACGTGCGGAAGCCCAAAACGGTGGGCATGAGACTGGTCATGGAAGCTTGATAGAAACAGGCAGAAAGATTTTGAATGAACAATTATGCATCTTTGGTGTCTTGGCCAGTGTCCTTTTACAGGCCTGTTTGTGACCTCGATCTTGTGGCCATGACGGAAAAAGAAAGCAACCTCCCCGTCAGACCATGGGGTCAACCAAAGTCTCCAGGCTCTGACGCGAACGTGCGCGCCACACTCGTGCGGTTTCACCAAAGAGGACTCCAGTATTGGCCTGGTCAACAACTATCACTGCTCTCGAATAAGGAGCCTATCACCCCACCAAAAAATAACAAAAATACACCACAACTGCATTGCGGACCTGAAGAGGTATCATTTGGAAAGGTCCGAGCTCTGATGTTCACTAGGCATCTGTTGGGGAAGTCCTTGGAAGTCCAGGTGCAGGATGCTGAGATGGACCGCACTTCAGGATTCGTGTTCGTGACCGACCCGCCACTGACCTGTTCGTGACCCCAGCCACTGGGATCTCATTCGTCACTGGGAAGGTCCTGGTACATCTTTTTAATTGCTAAGACAAGTTAATACCCATCAAGCACCTACACAATCGCCCGGCCTCACACCAACCCCCAAGTCAATGCACACCACAATACCCCAAACTTAAATGCGGCTTGACTTGCAGTGGGGGAATCCCCGCTACCCAACCCTTGGAGACCCCAAACACATAAAAAGCAACACACGGATCCAAACGACCAGCAGTCACCGTCCTTACTCCATGGATCCAGCCTGACGAACACATCATATGGTTACATGGATGGATCCTGAAAGGAAAACCCTTTTCCAAATAGCAAACCTGTGGTTTTCACTGCACTTCGATGTTAGTGATGCTAGTAAGTCGGTACCAAGCAGGTAGTTTTCACTCAACTTCAATGTGATGTGTTCGTCAGAGGATATGTCATTTTCTTGAGTTGGGGCGTTCCAAAGCAAGGAAAGACGATCCATTTGCTTACTAAGCAAAACATGGCCTACATGGGGTGGTCTGGGGTGGTGAACGTAGGTCCTATTCACTTCACCATGGATCGTTTGGGCAGGAAACACCTGGCGCCAACTTCCTTCTCCCATCCGAGCCTCAGGGGTTAAGGTGCAGTAGATGGTCTCCGGTAGGGCCGCCACACGGGCGGCCACCGATTTCTGCAAGGCCTCCGCGCAACAGCCTTTGTACCTGGGAAAAGCAGGGGCCTCCAGGGCTGAAATGGGCGAATGCATGCGAATTGGTAAGTATAGACCTACCGGAACAACAGTCCCAGTGGATCCCAGTGTCCACAAAAAAAAAGGAACCACAAACTTTTGGATCGGTCTATGGTTTTGGTCGAATTCGAACCAATGGTTAACTAGTGGTTTGCCTGGATCCTCTAAGATTCTGATTCTGTTGGACATCAACCTGGCAATCTTTCGCTTCCTCGGTGTTCCCGCAACGCGGTGGGTGCGGTGTTCTCTCACGACGTTCCGCCAGGATGCAGAGCAACTTGGAAGCTCCGATCATCATTGGCCAAGCGGAAGGTCAGGAACTTCCAGGCCATGACGCTGATTTGTTGAACTCACTGATCTCCATGCAATGAGGACTATCCACTATTGTCTGCCTCTTCAGGCGCTATTGTCTGCCTGCAATGAGGACAAGAAAACCCTTTCTGGCCCTTTTTGGCTCAACGCCCCGCGCCGCGCTCTTATGATGAGGACACCAGCCTTGATTATAACGTCTAATGAAGAACGTATCCAAACACTCCATGCGTGGAATATATGATTGGCAGTCCCAAACCACCAAACCACCGCCCCAACTGATTGGCAGTCCTATGGCAGTCCCACCAGTCGTGTCTGGGCATTGTTTGGTTGAACTTTGGAAGAACCAGAATCCAACTGCGTGAAGACCGGAATGACTGAGGGTGATGAGACGAGGTGTTCCGTGAAGCAAGTCTATTACTGGCTCTGGTTTCGCACAAACTGCTGTGTTTTGTAGAAGAAATGTGTTCATTTCCAGGGATTCGTTTGCGTCAACTCACCACTATGCTATGTGTCTGCTAAAAACCCTAAGTGGATGGGAGTGCTCAGCTCAGCTCGTCCAGAAAACTGCCACAAATGGCAGGGATCAAGACCCAGATGGAACTCGGTTGAATGTTATCCTACTCATGATATGTGGCTGTGGGTCAAAACCCCGTACCCCTGGTGAATAGTCTTGTTGGGGATGTTCACCTACCATATTTGGGTGACAATTGGTATTGACCCATGGCCATATGTCTGGGATGGGAACACACAATTTGATGTTTAAATCATCAATGAGCCAGAAACGGCTTGAACCCAGGGAAGAACAAACCCAACTGCACATGTCCTGAGCATATAACTGTCGAACAAAGACCCACTCATGAAAGGAAGCTCACAATGGTCTCATTGGAAGGCTTTTCTCTGCAAACTACTTTTTTGTCCAACTCTCATATTGAGACTCCAACCATAAGGTCGCAAGGTTTACAAGGAAACATCTAATGAAGTGTCACGCCAACAAGGATCCCTGCTGCTTTTCATGGTCAAATGAAGAATCTCAGCACCTCCCTGGAGCCAAGGACGCTACTTGGGCGACATCAACACCTGGTCAGCTTGTATAATGTAGACTCTTGATTAATAACCCACCCCCCATATGAAAAGGTGTTCAATTCCAATGGGGGGTTATATCATGTTATGTATCCATGAAGAGTCTGCTTGATACATCCTGCAATGACCCGCTGGTTCATAAGCAAATGCTTCCAGAAATCGTCATCTTCTAAACAGTCGCACTGCACAGGTGTTCTGATGATTTGGATCACCGCACTGCCTGACACGAAGCCTGCTGTGGGGAAAACCCTCAATCAAGAAGTGCTGCTATAGATGCAGTTGGCTGCAATTATGAAGCCCATATCTGCAAACATCCATGAGCCTGACCTTGCCTAATGGAGTGAGGCTGCAGAAAGAAGGAAACAGGTCATTGAGGGCTATCTGTGCAAACAAAACTGAGCTTTGAAACTAGCTAGTGGGACAGTTTCCTCCTTCCGAAACCCGGAGCTCAACCCCCGACGTCGAAGAACGTGCGATGTTTGGTGGTGCTGAACGGTCGATGCCCAATGCATGATGCGATCCAGATCGGTTCACCTTTTAGGCAGCACCAGAATGGCTGCATGACCAGTTTTCTGGAAGACGTCCTGGCCAGCACCCCACCAGCATGACGAACTTACCCATGGTACCAGGGCCCGCCTTTGTTTACAAGTAAGGCCAATGCCGTGGAGGTCAAGAATGGGGTTTCACAGGTAAACCATCATGGTAAACCGAAGAAATCCCAACAGGACTTGCCAAGCCCAATGAGTTGATTTCTTGCATTTATTGTAGTTGCTTCCCGGATTTTACATCGGCACTCAAAGAGTCTATAGACAAACACAAAAGAAAGCAGCCTCACCGAACATACGTGCATTGAGAAGCCACAATGAATTTATCTTTACACTCCCCTAGCCTTCAAACATCTTTAAAAGAAGCCTGGATCTTCCGACGACCAACAAATTCTGGTAGTTTTGGTTATTGACCCGGTTTTCCGCGCAAACGTCCGCAAATCAGCGCAACCGACAAAACGACCGCAAATTAGCGCAAAACGCACGCACAAAAAAAACAGCAAACGACCACAAAAATCCGCAACATAACGCAAAACAAACAAAACGACAAGATTTTGGTAGTTGGAAGGTCCAGGAGGTTGTGGTTCGTCGAACATGCTTAGCCAATGAATGGTTGTTTGTCGGTTTACCCTATTGAAACAAGGGTTCTTCGAATTCTAGGGTTCACTTAGCAGGCCTCCTAATCCGTCAATCTCCCATTCGCAGCCTGTCGTACCCGATGTCCACCAAAGTCTGAGCTGCTCTAATTTTTGCAGATGGTCTTCATGGCAGGTCCATGTAAGCTATTGAAAAATCTGCTTCTCCTGCTGCCTCCGCGCTGCAGTCAGGCACTGCCGGAGTCAAAGAATCTCAGCTGCTGGAAGCAGCTTCGAACCGCAGCTGAAGCCCTCAGCTCGATCCAGGTTGGATTAAAACAGCCCTGGTGTAGCTTTGATCATGTTGCTTGCTGCGATGCGGCACACAGTTCGTGCGACCTGTTGCACTTGACACTCCAAACACCTGCACCACCATCATCTTGGGCATATGACTAATGTCCGATGTCTTTGGGGCTGTAATTGGGCAGAGTTCTTCCAGAGTGGCAAAACCAGGGCATGGTCTTCTGACGGAGCGAGAAAGTCACATGATCTCCAGCCTTTAGGTTCCTGAACCTCTGTGTCCAACCATGCTCGAGATTCAGTGCTTCCAGGAGTAGAAACGACAGATTTGCCACTAGATGCCACTAGAAAGTAATGAACATCTTGGGCGGGGCGGGCATGCATGCATGTTGAATGACTTGAAACCATTCCACGAAGCCCTTCCAAACATACGGCGGCTCCGCATATGCACTCAGCTGTAGGCGACAAGGAAAAGGGCAGAGACCACAGCCGGAAGGTTTGTCAATCATTCTTGGTCGTGATGTTAATGAACACCATGGCAAATAAGATTTACACACATCGGAAGCCATTTGCGGAAGCCATTTGTTTGCTTGTTTAAACACGTGTTTTTTTTGGGAATGAGCAACATCTTCAAAAACAAGCTTCCATCATCCAAACAAGGCGACATTCTCTTGTTTAGGGCCCTACGCAGCAGTCTTGGCATCTGCAGGGCTGCAAATTTTGTTGGCCGCTTCCATAGGCGTGGCACTGGACACAAAAGACGTAAGCTGCGTAGATTGGAAGCAGAGTGGGCGGTACTTTGCCTGCATTTGTGTAAACATTGTGAGTGAACATCTCTGACTCAAAGGAGACATGCAACGCATGGCACCACAGAAAGAATTGCTCTCAATTAGCCGACTGTCGTTCAAGGCCAAGATGATTCACACAAGAGAAGATGTTCTTTGATGGATGCTTTAGCTAAGGCCTGCATCAGCATCCAGTTTGGTTCTTGCCCGGCCTTGCACAGCCGGGCTTGAACAAAAAGCATCTCGGTAATGGCACCACATGGCATGTAACTACATTCTGCATTCTTGTAAAATGGACATGGTATGTAATTTAGCAAAGAAAGCACATGAAGCCCAATGGTGAACCAATGCTCGAGAAACTCGGCACTGCCAGGTGACTATCATGAATTAACGCCTGAAAACGGACACTGAGAATTGGCACCCTGAGTCGGACTGCTAGCTGCACCAGTTTGGTCTATGGCTTGCTTTCAGCGGGCGCACGGTGACTGCTGGAAGCACATCCAACCTCTGCGGGACACTCCGAAAGCAATTCTCGGCATGGCTTCCAAACGCAGCGAGAAAGAACTGGAGAATGAAGACTGAGGATTGTTGCTTCTGCTCACCTTACGGTTGGTTCGACCACCGGTCACCAAACTCCCCAAACCATTGCCGCTCCTGAACGGACCCATGTGCCATGCTCATTTTTACGGCGTTCTTCGACTCATCCGTTCTCGGTCCCTTCGATTGAGGTCGCGTGGACCCGCCCGGGGGGCGGGCGACCAACCCGCGTAATGCGACACACTGAGCATGCACACGGTGTCACAGTAGAAACCGGTCTCCACTAGGCTATTGAACTAGGCTTAGGCTTTGCTGCTTTTTTCAAGCACGGTCAAGGTATGAGTCAAGGACCCAGTGGCACTGCGAAATGTGCTACAAACATGTGCAAACCACATCTCTTTCCAAGGAAAGCAACCACTACCTTCCGTGGTTCTCGGAGACTTAGGCCGACGCCGACCCTCGGCCTATGATTTCAAGCGCTTGAAAAAAGCACCTCGTCGTGGAGCACTTGAGTGCCAATCCCCTGGACCTCCACAGCCGGTCTTAATGGACGATCTGCACGCGGTGGACAGGCGGTTCAACATGGGTTGGTCTCAAATCAGCTGCCAGCATCCGACTCTACAGGTCTCCGGCTAGAGGCTTGTTGGACCGGGCATAACCGGCTGGGTGACGCGTGAATGAAGTCGGGTGCTGGTATGAATCGAACACATCTGTGTTTGCTTCACTTGATGCATGCATCGATGCATGATACAGCTCAGCTAGATACATTCTCAGCTGCATGAACATACCAAGAGCGATTTGGCAAGACCTTCCCGAAAGCCCGGGAAGTGAAATCGGTGCTGAGAAATCTGCGAAAAGCGTGCAAATGCTCAAGGGGCACCTAAAACAATCTCGCTGTAGCTCACTCGTTCGATGGACCATAGAGCTTACAAACAGACGACAAGTGACCTAAAACCGCTAGCAAGTGGCAAGTGGTTAGGACATGTTAGGAGACTCCCCGGACCATCTTGGCTCCCTAAGGGGGAAGAACTGGATACCCCCAGCTCTCGAGCTGTCGCTCCCTCCGAAGCACTACAGTGTTGACAGCGCTTCGTGAGGCTCGGAATCACCTGCCACCACCCGCATCCACCTCCCACTGGTGTCTCAGCATATACTTCCTTCTGTCGGCGCTGCATATGCAAGATGGTGACAACTGCCTGCCTCACTCCGAATTAGTTGAGTTCATCC